GTCGAGAACGTTTTAGGGGCAACGGGCAAGGAGCAGGCGGCTCAGTGGTTGAAAGGTGGAGGGGCGTGGGGGGTGAAGAATGACGGCTTGTCATGCCCAGGGTCCCGCAGAGGGGGCGCGCGCGGCAGGGAGCGTTTTGCAATGCGAAAAGGCATGTTCCACCCAGAGATCCCCAAGCACTCCCACACGCGTGGCGGCGGCACACGCGCGCACTCCCCCACCTGTGCAGGATGGCCTTCCCCGCCGACCGCAGCAGGTTGAGCGTCAGCGTCGCGCACATGCACGCGAAGAAGATCTGCCACCCCAGGCTGTGCTGCCAGAAGCTGGCCACCTCTTCGAACGCAAACAGCAGGCCGCCGATCGGCGCGTTGAACGCCGCCGCGACGCCGGCCGCGACGCCGGCGGTCACGAAGTCGCGCTTGTCCTTGGGGTTGCGGAAGCGCCTGAAGGCGTTGGTGGTGAACCCCAGGGTGGTGGAGTGGCCCTGGGACAGCGCCGCGCCCAGGGCTGCGCCGATGTGGATGAGGGGGCCCTCGGGGCCGACGGGCAGGCCGGAGGCCACGGCGAGGCCGCAGGAGAGAATTTTGACGCCGACTGTGGCGATGTTGAACACCTGGGGGCGACGGCGGGGCGCGGGGTAGGGTTTGCAAAGGAAAGGGTTGGAACAGGGCTTCGTTCGGTGGTGTCAAGCGTTATCGAATTGGGGGAAGGGGGGCAGGCCACAGACGTGATGCAGTACGGCAGGTGAGGAGGACGCTTCGCGTTGCAGGGTGTCGTGCTGACGCAGCCCGCCCATGGCGCTGCCCATCCTCGGGTCACGGCGCGACACAGCCCCCACCGTGCCTGCCCCTGGCCCTGGACCCACGCGCCACACCCTCACACGCCATTCAGGCCGCCGCCTTTCTGGATGCCTCTAATCCTGAACGCGCCCCTCAAACAGTAAGCAAGCTCGGCTCGTGCCCTCGCACCACGTGCACACACACGTGACTGGCTCATGCCCGGTCAGCCGCAACCCCCTCCGCCCGCCACCCCACCTTTGGCATCATCACGCCGTTGAGATAAGCCATGACCTCGGGCACGCCGCTGCCGATCGCCGCCGGCGCGTACCCCACCGCAACCAGGGAGGACCCCGCCACCAGCGCGAGGCTGGTGGCCGTGTTGAACAGCCAGGCCACCACCATGTTGGTGTGCAGGATCAGCCAGCGGGTGACGCCGTACTTGAACTCGGCCAGCACGCCAATCAGCTGGTGGGGTGATGGTGCGCCATGGGGGCGGCAGGATTGGGTGGGGGGGGGGGCACGAGGAGGAAAGAGACTGCCACGGGGGTCAGCTGGGGCGCGGTGATGCGGCCCAGATTGCAAGGAGAGGCTGGGAGTATAATTTGTCTTGACTCGACAAGTGCAAGACCTCCCGTGCAACCACCAGCGCCGCCACAGCTCCACGGCCACTAGAGACCAGCCAGCAGCAGCAGGTGGGAACCTCAGCCGCGCGCTCCTGTTGCAAACAACCGAAGACGCCTCACGCGTGTCTGCCGCTCAAGCGGCCGGCCTGCCCTCTCTCTCTCCCCGCCCACGACGACACACACCGCCCACCAAAAGCACCACGCTGGCGGCCAAAGGGGCTGTGCGAGCGGCGGGGATTCGCGTGGCTCACCACGTAGAGCGCATAAGCCACGAGGCCCACTGTGAAGCCGATGCTGCCCATCATCACCCACCGGTCCCAAAGGCGGCGGTGCGGCTGCCGCGCCGCAGCGTGGGGCAGGCCGGCACAAGAGTAGGGGTGAGGCTCATGGCGCCCGGCGCAGGCGCCGTGGCACGCGGCAGCAACGGCAGCAGTGGGAGTTGGGGGCCGCGCGCGCGCAGCAGCGGGATGGGGGGCCGCATGCAGCAGCAACCCATCGTCGGCCCCAGGCTGCCGCAGCCGCTGGTCACCTGCCGCGCCAGCCACTTGCGGTAGACCATGCTGTTGGGGGGCAGGTAGTCGATGCTCTCAAAGTGGTTGAGCCGCCGCTTCTCTACAACAGGCAGGGGGGTGCAGCATCAGGCGGGACGTTGGGCGCCGCCTTGCCGCAGGGCCGGCGGGCTTCTGCAACAAGGGGGGCTGCACTGCACGCCAGCGGCCGCGAATCTGAGGCGCAGCGGCCAGCTGCAACCTGCCGAGCGCTTGCCGCTGTCACTGCAAGCGCATCTCCCGCGCACCGCGCAGCATCGGATCCCCTGGGCGTGCCAAAGACGCACTGAGGACCCAAACCGCGATCCCGGCCCCCCTCCCCCCAAAATGCTGTCAGCAACCCCTGTATGCTGCTGCTGCTGCGAGGCTCACCCTCCTGGGTGTATTGGTGGTTGACTCGTGCATTCTCGGGGGTACCCTGTCGTTTCGATAGGTTGACGGTGCGTGAGCGTGCGCCCTGGAGCAGTCCCAACCAGCAGCGGGGGCGCCGGCGCAGCCGCATGGTCGAGAAGAGAGAGCTGCAGCACAGCCGCTCGTCTCCCTTGGACTCACCCGCCATATGCTGGCAATCGTCGTCCAAATGCTCCCGCCAGAGCCGCCATGTTCCCCATCGTCGCCGTCGCCGCCGCCGCCCCCGCTGGCGCCGTTCAGGCGCCTGGTGTCGCCCACCAGCGACGGCAGACGCGGCTCGCTGGGGCCATCGCCGTTGCTGAGAAGCGGCTGGCTGTCAATGCCTAGGTCCAGGTCATCAGAGTGCTGGAACTCGATGTAGTCCGTGTAGGCGCCTGGCGTGCAGCATGTTACCCCCGGACGCATGGCGTGGTGCAGCATGTGCCAGAGCGTGCGCGCTGCTGTCAGACTGTCGAAGGCAGTCGGCACCGCATCGCAGGTGCAGCTCTCCCGTCTGCCTCCATGGAGTGCAACGAGTTTATCCCAACTCTATATTTTGCAACTGACGTTGCCCACCTTGTCGCGCGCGGGCCATGTGAGCCCGGACCACGCTGCGCCGGATCGTTGATCTAAGTGGCTCTGCTAAAGAAATCAATTGTTATAACGTCTTGTATTTGGTGGGCAAGTCGGGGCCCCTGCTGTCTGGTTGCAACCCAACCGGATGGTCGACCTGATATAGCTGAATCGATCCGCACCCATCAGGTGAATGGACTTCACGAAGACTTATTACATGCACTTATCATAACAAAGTCAGTAGCAGCGACTGCTTCGCAACCTGAGCCGACGCAGTCATCGCAAGTTGAGTTGCGGCAGGGGGCGTGCAGCTGCGCACTCAGGTGGTACAATGCACGGGGGTCACATGCGGATGCGCACCTTACTGCGATGCTTTTCCCCTCCCCCTGCCCCCTATCTTCGGCAATGGATGTGATTGCGCAGCAGGCAGCGGCCACCGGCGGTCGTGGTCCTTGGGGACGATGCTGGGAACAAGGGACACGCATGTGCTTGATGTTGCCACGGCACGCCACCAGGCCAATGATTTTGACCCACGCATCCGCCATATCCACTGATAATTCTGGAACTCGTTCATCCAATCAACACATGCATTGGCATCCACCTGTTGACCACAGGCGGTGCTGGAGCCTTCAAGTGAATGGAGTCGACGTAACTTGCAATTGTGGTTGGCGACTGCTGCACTTGCCTGATTGATTCAGCCGCTCACCAATCCAAACTCCATCACCAAAACAGGCAACATCAGTGCTTGGTTGTGATCGAACCGGCGGTGACTGACGCAAACTGCTTCCCCTGCCTGGATTCTGTATATTTGTTACAAGTGCATTTTGAAGCAAGTCCCAGCCGCACGCGCGTCTGCCTATGCCAGACAAGGGATCACTTGTTGCGGTGGGTATAGACTCGTAGTGACAGGGTGTCACGGGTCCAGTTAGGCTAATCCAGGAGAGCAAAACAAGAACAACTCCTGCACTGGCCATGCCTGCTTGGAGCACATGACAAAAACCTCCAAAATCAAATGAGCCCATCGCCGTCGAACTCCGGCCTCTTATCAACAGACGCCACCGTTGGGCCTCAATGCAACACTGCCCTGCCGCGCACCTCCTCCATGTATCCAGGCCCCTTGTCCTCGCCCCCGCGAGCCCCTCACGGCAGCGGCATCTCCACGTGCACGTCGCAGAGTGGGGGCAGCGCAAAGTAGGCACTCCACCTGGCAAACTGGCCGTGCAGGTAGCTGGGCAGGTGCAGGGACACCAGGGACGTCAGGCTCCTGAGGCTGGCCACATCTGGCAGCAGGTCGGTGACGTCACCTGCCGGGGTAGGGGCGGTCGCAAATTAGTCACGCTGTCCGGCTGGCCACCCAGGGACAAACTTCGGCCCCTCGGCAATACCGGTAGACACAAAAGCATCGTGAACGGCAAGAGAATGGGAGCGGAGTTGCTTATCGCAGCTTGGATCAGGGTGGAGTCACGTGCAGAAGCACTCACCAACGTGCCACCGAAGCTGCCGCAGCCTCTCCAGGCCGCCCAGTGACTGCAGCGCGGCGTGGGTCACCTGGGGGGGGGCAAGGCGAAGCGCAGCGTGCGGTTGTGCTGCTGCAGCACGCGTGTGTGGTGGCCTCGTGGCCTCAGACTCGTCACAAAACCACATGGCTGCCTTTGGGCCGCGGCTTCCTTCACCTCTCACAGCACTGAATCAAAAAACGCAATAAGCGTCCCGTCTTCAGCACACTCATGAGTGTGTGCGTGCACACACTTGCACACACACACTCACACACAACGTGCATAGACACCAACAAATACAAACACGCACATACACAAACACGTGGCTTCAAATGACACGCACCGTCATCGTCCCCGATGCGCAGACCAGCAGTGACGTGAGCGCTGTCAGCCGCCCAATGGCCGCAAAGTCCTCATCTCGCAGCCATGGCATAGCCACCAGCTCCACGCTGCGCAGCGCCGGCAGCGCGGCGAGCAGCTGCGAATGCCAGTGAATGCTCGCGGGGGGCTGCACCAGGCGGCTGATGGGCTCGCAGCCATCAGGCGGTGGCACTGCAGTGCACTGGCGCAGGCTCAGGCGCTCCAAGCTTGCCATCCTGGCCGGAACGTTTTTGCAGTTGTTGGCAGGTTGTTGATAGACTCATTGATCGACTTGTAGGTTTGCTGATCGGTGTCAATGGTGGGATGATGGAGAGGGTCAGTGCCATGCAGGTGCGAGGCCCATGCAGGCAAGACCAGGCGCTACACCCTCCAAACCGACCCAGGTTACACCCTGGGTGGAACAGGCAACAACCTGCAAGGCTGCAGCAGCGCATGCCTCTTGCCATACGATTCCCCCCGATGAGGCATTCGCCCCAGGTCCAGGCGGTCAACGCCTTGCGCACCTGCGCTCCGCCGCGGCGCAGGCCGTCACCACCACATGCCTCAGCGCCAGCTGCGTCAGCCGCGCCGGCAGCGCCCCCACGTCCACCACCGCCACCTCGGGCGCCATGGGCTCGCGCAGCAGCAGGCGCAGGCTGGTGAGCGCGCCGCACGCGCGCAGGGCTGGCAGGGTGGCCGGGGGGTCGAGCTCAGCCACCGCCAGGTCAACCAGCTGCACGTCCTCCAGGGTGGCCGCCCACGCGGCCCACAGCCTGCCCAGGCCCTGCGAGGGGCGGCGCGAGGCAGAGCGAGGGTGCGGGTGGGCGTGCCTCGCGTGCGGACTGATGGGTTGACAGGGCAGGGGGGAACGTTTCGTCCCTCGAGCAACAAGTGGCAGTGTCACCTCCCTTGCTGTGTGTCCAGTGACAACGGCAAGCTGGACCAGACCCCACCAGACTTTGGCTTTCTACCAGCTGTGTCGTGCAAATTCACACACCCATACACACCAACACAAGATGCACACGCTCGGATATACTATCTCTTACACACGCACACACACACACACACACTCACACTTTTTACTTGATCACACCCATTAACACACGCGCAAACATGTGCGCGCGTGCGTGTCAATGCAGGACACCGGCCGCCAGCAAGCCGTGCGCCCACCTGCACGACGCCGGCCACGCTGCCGGTCGCCCCGGTCAGCTCGAAGCACCGCATCCCCCGCAGCGCCACCAGCGGCGTCAGGTCCACGCTCATCGCCGCCCGCGACGCCGACGCCGACGCGCGCGCGGGCCGCACGCACTCCAGCCGCTCCAGGCGCAGGCGCGTGAGCGCGGTCAGCGCGGCGACGCAGGCGCCGGCCTCCGCCGACCAGACGCACTTTGAGAGCTCGAGGTCAACCAGGGCCGCGGGGGCGCGGCGTCGGGTGAGCGCGCAGAGGTCGCGGCACAGGGGCTCGGCGGGGCGGCGGCACAGCCTGGGGGCGCGGTGGACGGAGGGCGGGAGGAAGTGGGGCCGGCGTGACAGGCGGCGGATGGTGAGGGGGCTTGGGCACGGGCATGGGGGCGTGCTGGTGCGGGGGCAACATCGATGCTTGGGGATGATGATGAGGTGCAGGCCCTTTGTGGGCTGGCTACAAGGCGGCGCAGTCCAGTGAGTGAGAGGCTCGCACCTGACGCCGAGGCGCCTGACGTGCGGCAGGGCCAGGAGGGAGTGCTCCTCCAGCGCCTGGGGGGTGTTGAGGAGCGCCGGCTGCAGGCGCAGCTCGCGGAGCGACGTCAGCGATGAGATCACCTGGTATGCCGGAAACAGCGGCATGTGTGGATGTGTTGGAGGGTAGGTGAGGTTGTTTATAAGTCTATGTGCGTTTGTGTGAGTGTGTGCATGCGCACGTTAACACACACACACAAACAAAGAGCTGTCATCTACTTCCACAGGCACCCCTGGCCTTGCATCCCTGCTCTTGCTGGGGTGCTTCTGCAAAATCACACATACACACACGCATACACACACACCGCCCCTTGACGGACCTGCAGCGCCTTGCTCTGCACCGGCGCCCCTCCCAGCAGGTCCAGGCTGCTCAGCGCCCCCAGCCGCCGCAGCTCCAAAAAGAACTCCGCCTGGTCGTGCGCGTCAGCCGCGGCTGTCAGGGCCTGCAGGCCGGGCAGCTTCCGCGCCACCAGGCCGGCCAGGGCGCTGGCGGGCATCCTGGGTACGCCCGTGAGGGCCGCCCCCGGCGCCGCGGGCTGCAGCCAGGCGGGGGCCTGGAACTCGTCCAGCTGCGTGAAGTAGGGCCACGCGCCGGGGTTGAGCACGAGGGACACCAGGCAGCGCGCGCTCGCGGCGCCGGTGATGACGCCCTGCGAGCCGGGGAGGTGAGGGGCGGGGGCAGCACTGTGTTGTTGTAGCGGCGTCGAGATATGCCCATCAGCAACCCCATGGGTGTGTCGCTACTTCCCAGCACAGCAGAGACCTCAGCGCCCAGCCACGGCTGCCTCAGTTTGCAGCCCGCCAGCTCCGCCCCTGGGACTGAAGCGTTCCCGGCCAGCAGCGCCCGCTCGTGCGCACACATGCATCTGGGCCACGCACCAGCATCTCGTTCTCAGCCATGGCCGCGCCGTCCACCACCAGCTTGGTGACGCCCCTCAGGTCCAAGTGCGCAAAGCAGCCGAGCGGCCATGCGCCCTTCTGGGGCGCGTAAGGCACCCAGGCCGTGACCCGCAGCTCGCGCAGGCGCTCCATGCCGCGCAGGCCCAAAAAGAAGGCGGCGAGTGCGCCAGTGCTGCAGCGCGAGCCGAAGTGGGCGTGCAGGCTGGACAGGTGCGGCGTGGCGCGGGTGAGGGCGCGGGCCTTGTCCGCGTTGGAGGGGGCGTCGGGCAGCAGGTGGGTCGTCAGGCGGGTGACGCCTGCGGGTCGCGGGGGCGCGCGTGGAGGGGTCATAAGCGAAAGGCGCAAGGGAGGCAGCTAGATGCTTTGTAAGAGGCAAGCGGCTGGCCTATGTGCGCGCTGCGTACGATTTCCTTGAGCAGCCAGAGCAAGGGCCCCATGGCCTAGCAAGGGCCAGGCCAAGGGCAGGGGACAGTTGTCTGTTGCCCAGGCCCACCTCCGCGCAGCGACCGGCTCCACAGCCGGCATACCAGGGATGCTGCCGCTAGTTCTGATGCCTCCAAGGTGGCACCCACTAGTTGCAGCAGCTCTGGGGGCAGCAGGCCCTCCTCCTCAACGTGCTCCTGTGCACCGCTGCGGCGGTGCCGCACGCCGCGGCGCAGGGCGGGCGTGCTAACAACGGCCTTGTCACGTGGTGCAGAAGCATCCGGAGTGTGCATAACGCTTGCCTTGATCGCTTTGCTGCGCTTGGTGGCCGGCTGTCGCCCCATTTTTGAGGCGCAGTTGTTGCGCAAGGATTCGTGAGGATGTGCAAGTCTCGTTATGTCTAGATATTTGACTTTGGGGAAATTTCTCGTGCTCCAGCCGGGTGAAGAGGCCAAAAATCTAGAGAAAGCGGTGGGTGACGATGCTAGATCGATCAGATGCTTGTTCCAGCAGCTCGGACGCGTCGTGCGAGATGGAGGAAGTGAGATACACAAATCAATAGGGCAACGTGCCTGCAGGATGGTTTGATCGGGTCGGAGCCGCTCCTCACAACAACAAGTGCTGATGTGCTGGTCACGCCGGGTGTGTCCCATGAATCAGTCGGTCATCAGCCAACAACAGGGCAGCCACAGCCAACTGGCCTGTTTGGAATTGCAAACCGTCAGATGTGGTTTGTGACATCTGTAACAGTCTAATGTGGGTAGCTGTGACCACAGAACCACCAGGAAAGATGTTCCTGACCCACATGCCCGTCCCTGCTGACGCTCTTTGATTACATAAGCTACAAGACCCCGGAGTCCCAGACGCCTGTCTGGACGCGCCTCACTATTGCCATATGGACGAAGTTATGCTGCGGACTGGCCTCGCAGCAGCAGCAGCCTGGTGCACACGGCACAGCAAGCCCTCACGTGCACAGACCCCAAGGCACGGGCTGCCCATGCATCAATCAAGCCCTGACCCAGGGTCGACCCGGCACCAGAAACGTGGCCGTGGGAGACAATGTTTAATGGGCCTTTGTTTGATGAGCTCAAGGGTGTGCGGGCAATGGCCGCCCCCGGGGGAAACACTTGATACTTGTTGCACTGCTACCTGGATCTGCAGGCTGCTCGAATGCCAGGGTCAGCAATTGGACAGGCCGCGCTGCACCCAACACTGTTTCACCGTGTCAGACATCGCGCAGTTTCTACTGCTCCACCGCACCTCTGCGCTGCGCCCTGTCAATTGCAGTTCAGCAGTCTAGTGTCAACGCACACTTTACGGGGTCGTCCACCCATCTGTGTCCTGGTTGGTCGCGGGATACAAGATCGAAGACAAATATATTTCTGCGGCACAGATCGTGTAGTTAGGCATACAGCCTGCGCGTGCAGCTGCCAAGCAGAAGATTTTGTCGGGTGAACCCTCTAACGAGCTCGAGGGGGTTTTCGCAGGCGCAGAACAGCAGCGTTGTAATTGAAATAAATTTCTGAAACCCCTTGGAAGTACGTGCCAGTCGGATATTCGACGATCAAGCTGGCCTGTACCTCCTCGAACGCCAGCGCTGCAGCCGCAGCGCCGCAGCGCAAGCCACTGGCCGTGTAGGGCCCAGGAAGGGGCCCTGCATGCCGCTGTGCTGCGATGAAATCCATAAAGATGCGCTTCAGCAAGCCTCTGGGCCCCAGGTGACCACAGCAGTAACGCATGGCGCACAGTCGGTCACAGGATCACATTGCCGTGTGCCGTTTCTTACCTGGCAAAACAGCACATCTTACCCCCACACAAACACAAATTTTCTGTTGCAGTTGGGGAATGTGGTCGTGGCTGGGACCGCTGCACGCACATTTGCGGCTACAGTCATCCACCCAGTCGAGACCCTGAAGCTTAGGTAAAGTTTGTCGAGTCATCTGAGCTGCCTTTGGCCCACACCCAGCCAGCAAGAGTTTCTCACATTCCAACAACACCCTTGCACAATGCGTGGAACTGTCTCATCAAGCCGCCATGTCAAACAGATTAAGTGTGCAACCTTGTCTCAACCTGCTGCTCCGCAATGTTCTCCTCCCCCCCGGAAAAAACTCAAACGCACGCCTACAAACACGCACACACGCACACAAATACACGCACGCACGCACGCACGCACGCACGCACGCACACACACACACACACACACACACACACACACACATATATGCAAACGCGAGCGCGAGCGCACACGTATGGCATGTACTCATGCATGCACGCGCACTGCAGGGTCATGCTACGCGGCGCTGGCGCGACGAAGGCCGCCACAGCCGGACTGGCAATGGCGGGCACCGCCGGCATCGGCGCCGCGCGAGGCGGCGTGCGGCTGCCGCCGCAGCACGTGCGGGTGGAGCGCTGCGGCCCCGACCTGCTGCACGACCTTCACGCGGGCCTGTCCGGCAGCCTGCTGAGTGCCATCCCCACCGGGCTCCTCTACTGGTGGACGTTTGAGGTCTGCTCCAACCAGCTGCACCTGCGCCTGGGCCGCCCCGAGCCCGGCGCGCCGGCCGCGCGCGCGGCCCACCTGCTCTCGTCGGCCGCCGCAGCGGCCGTGAGCAGCGTCGCGCGCGTGCCCACCGACCTGATGCGGCAGCGCGTGCAGGCGGGGCTCGAGCCCAGCCTGGTCGCTGCCGCGCGGTCGGCGTGGCGGCGGGGCAACGGGCCCAGGGGCCTGTACGGCGGCTGGGCGGCGACGCTGATCCGGGACATTCCAGAAATGATGCTCTCGTTCACGCTGTTCGAGCTGGGCCGCCAGCAGTGGCTGGGCCGCGCCGGCAGCGGGGGCAGCCCCAGGCAGCGGGGCGGCCGCGATGGCGGTGGCGAGACGGACGCGTGGCGCCACATGGCGCTCGGCGGGGGCTGCGGCGCGGTGTCGGCTGCGCTGACTGTGCCGCTGGACAACATAAAGGCGCGCGTGCAGTGCGGCCTGGGCAGCAACGCGAGCGGGTTTGCAGGAGTGCGGCAGGCGGCGGAGGCGATCATTCTGGAGAGGGGTCAGGCGGGCCTCATGGCCGGCCTGGGGCCGCGCGTCGTGCAGGTGAGGGGCGCAGCACGCTAGAGCTGGTGATGCCAGCGACGAAGCGCAAACCATGGGTAGGGTTGCAAGGGTAGTCAAGTGGGGGCCTGCAGGGGCCGGGCGCTTGCGGGGCCATCCAGGGCAAACAGCACACGGAAATGGGCTTGATTCCAGGGCGCAAGCGGTGCATTCACAATTTGACAGCGGCATTCCGGGCCCACAGCTTCCTTTTGCAGCCTGCTTTGACAATTATCAAGTCCCTCGTGTGCAGCCCTGCCTTGTCCCCACCCCCCCCCCCTCCCCCCATTCTGGCCGTGCCCTCCTCACCTGCACCGTGTTCTGCCAGGCCGCCCTCTTCAGCGCGCTGTTCTTCACTGCGTTTGAGGGCCTCAAGGCCCACCTCGGGCGGGCCGACGCGGCGGCGCACGGCGGCGCGCGGCAGGCGCACATCAGCCCCCGTGTCCACGGCAGCCCGCGCGCGCACGGCAGCCCCCGCGCTCACGGCAGCCCTCGCTCAGCCATCGCCGCCGCGTCCGTCGGCGACGCTTACAACGCCGGCGCAGAGCATGCCGGCGCCCTGTTTGCGTGCCTCCTGTCTGGTCCCGGCAGCCCCCTGGCCCCACAGACCCCTCGGACGCCGCGCACGCCGCACGACACGCCACAGACGCCGCAAGAGACACCCCGCACGCTGCACGAGGTGCAGCTGCCCCGCTCGCCGCACGACTGGTGACACCCCCCGCCCACAAGCAGCTGCTCAGCGCAACATGCCGCATGGCACTGCCGCAGCAGCATCTTTGGCAGCAGGTAAACTCTATCACTTTTTGCAGGCATTTCCAAAAATTGTCATGCGTGCGACCCTCTGGTGGTGCACCCCGATAGACATCATCAAGAAATTTTTGGCAGACTGCCAATCGCCTTATCAGGACCAATCATGATTCACCAGAGCGTGCACGTGCACACATGCGTGCGACTCGACAATTTTGTGTTGGCTTGCTTGGATTTCATATTGGCTGGGGCTTCACTAGGCGTTCGGGCGAGGCTTTTAGGCACGCAGTGCAGACTCCGCACCCAGAAGGCATCACGCACATTTGCGGCCCCCCTTTGCACCTCCTCCCTCTGCCTTCTCTGACTGTCCAACCTCCATCAGCATGGCAGTGCCCTTTGCAGGTATTTTGCACCGCCATCGCCCGTTGAGGTTGAGGTCAGATTTCATTGTCGCCAAGCCATTTGATGGGTGCGCTTGGCGGGATGGCGGCGAGTGCAGCATGTGTGATGGCTTTCCACGCATGTGTCCTTTCTTTGGCCCGCTGCTCTTCAGTTTAAAAGGTCACAAGCACTCCACCCGGGAGCTGTTGCGACACCAGCCTGTTGGAGTACAGTCGACAGTTGCGCTGCTGATGGCCACTGGCAAGACCACACAACCAGCTTGCTTATGATAACAAGCAAGGATTGAAAGGGCCAAAATTGGCAAAACATGGGTAAAACGATAGGGCCAGCGGCCAGCAAGAAAGTTGCCTGCGCTGAAGAAAAAGAGGCAAAACGGATCCAGGCATGCGAGCAGTAGTTGCCAGCAAACGCATGAACGATCGATGCTGCACCCCGCCCCTCACGCTGGTGCACCAGCTTGAGCGAGGGCCTGCAGCTGCCACAGCAACAGCAGCAGGAGGTGCGCGGTGCCACAGGCGCTGTGAGATCACTGCCAGTACATGTCCTGAGGGAAGGCGGGGCCAGTCCTGGGGATCTTCCACCTGGTGACGTGCATGGGGCAGGGGGGGGGATGTGGGAGTGTAAGGTGTGCACTGTCCAGGTGTTGCCGGCAGAGGCTGTCTCCGGAGACCAAACTGCGCCTGGCTGCCGGCGTACGACCAACAAAGCGCGGCCGCGTGCTGTGCCGGTCCGTGGTTGCCGCCCGCGCGCGACATGACTTCACATCCTGTGCCCGGCACCAAACTGCCTGGTGTACACCGCTGGCCTGCCGCACAATACCAACCAGGTGAAGCCGCGAGCACAAACACACCCACGACCCCCGACCCATCGGGACACTCCAGCCAACCGCGTCGGCCGCGCACCTCTTCCAGTGCAGGTTGTCCCACCACATGTGCTCCCAGCTGTCCGTGACAGGGCGGGGGCCGCCGCCCATCTGTGGGTGATTGCGGGGGCAGATATGAAGACGTATCGTGAATAGAAGCGCAGGTGTGGTCGGCATGAAAGCCAGCAAGCATCCGTTGTTGCTCCCCCCCCCCCCCCGTAAAACAACCATCTACATGGGGTCTGGGGACTAGAGGGGCCCTGCTGGGGTGCATCGCACACGCCTGGACAACTGCCCTCGCGCGCCACCACGGTGGCCCAGCAGCGCACCAGCCACGTGCGGGGCACTTGGCCGCGGAGCGCGTCACGCCTCATGCCCGCCTCGTTGCACACCGACGCAATGTAGTCGGGGCTGCAGGACGCGGTTGGGCCGGCAGGGAAGCGAGGGTGTGCAAGGAGCAGCAAGGGAGCCCAGGCCCCAAGGCAGCCAGGCGCCGCAGCTGCACCAGCGTCCACAGGAGGTTGAAAGGGAGGAGCTAGTCGGGCAGGCAGAGCGGCGGCCCGGGGGGCGCGCGGCGGCGGCCCGGGGTGGCTCACTCGTGCTTGCGCGCGCGCATCTCGCTGCCGAAGACCTTTCCTGGGAACATGTGGCAGACCAGCGTGCTCTGTAGGGAGCAGCGAAGGAGGGAGGGGCGGCGACGGTTGAGGATTGCTGGCAGGAGCGCAGCGCGTGCCCCAGTGGCAGCATTTGAGCGCGCGCCCGGCCCACGGTCGTGTCGAGTCTGCCGCATGCGTTGCGCAGCCGCCAGCACATGGGCGGCTGCACGACGCCGACATGGGGCGCCCAAGGCGCCATGACAGAGGTGCGCGTTTGTATGTTAACAAAGGATTTCAAGGAAGCAGGAAGCGCTGCAACGCACACATGTCAACACATGTGCACCGTGTATCGAGGCGGGGGAGGGGGGGGAGGGGGCGCACGTTGATAGCGAGGAAGAAAGCGCCGAAGAACTCCCCGGGCACGTGGGGGATGTTGGCAGGGCCCTTGTAAGCCTGGTATGCCAGGAACACTGGCGGCTCCTCATCCACTGCGGGGCGAGCAGCATTAAAGAGCAGGGGCAACAGCGTCACGACCAGCTCACAATAGCAAGCCGCTGCAAGCGCGGATGTGCCGAAAGCGCGCCACTGGTGTTCCAACCTGGACCGCTGCGCTGCAATGCATGCATTCGACGTGTACACCTTGTTTAGCAGCACATTATCCCCCCCTGCCATCGCCACGGTCGCACAAGTAGCCCACGTCGATTGGCAGCGGACAAGCATGCGTGGCAGCATGCCTCACTGCACTGAATGGCTCTTTCCAACTCACTGGTTGGTCTATGAGCCTGAATGGCCGTGCCCAGCGACCGCTGATCTAGAAGTGGCTGCTGCAGCAGCTCTCCGGCACCCTCCTCAATACAGAAAACTCCACTAGCAATTAAATTGTGATATATCTGCAGCAATGCTGCTTATCTCAAAGATGTCGCAGTTGAATCGATCTGCGCCGCTTTTGAGCGCACACACAGCTATCATGTATCAATCGCAGCAATATGAAAGCGTGCAGATTCAAGAAGGGCTGCACCACGTGCGAGCTGTTGGTGTGCCTGTTGAGCGCCCGTTGCACGTTGCCGCGATTGCTGCGCTTGTGGTCATCAGGCTGGCTGCATTGTGCCTCAAAGTCAACTTGCCAGCAACACACTCTCAAGTAGGCAACCAAAGAGAGTGTTGGCTTGTTATAAAACCCGATGCCACATGTTCTGAAACGTATGGGCCCGTTGCTGCACTTGTGCACCTCCAGGATGGCGAGTTTGAAAGGTGTGCATGCCGCCAAAACAAGGAGGATAGACAGTCGATTACTCCACTATTTCGTGGTCTGCCACTGACAGCATGCATTCACAGAGCTAGCCGCTCCCAGAGCTGCTAATTTTCAGTGCTGCCTGGTAAGATTGGACGCTGCCACGTCTGTACACTTCAGGGCTGCTTCTCATTCACCTGCCGCTGCCGCCGCGTGGCGCACTCCCGCACCAGCTGCATACTGTCCAGCATAGCAGCCGCTGGCTTGCGCCGCAATGGCGGCAGCTCTTTCAAAATTGATAATGGGACGCCATGCCGGCCGCCATCCGCGCGGCTGCCGCCAGCGCCCGCGACGGCTGCTCGACCTTGTTGCTGCTGCTGCTGCGGCGGCGGCGGCAGCAGCTGCTGCTGCTGCTGTGGTTGCTGTGGCTGCTGCTGCTGCTGCTGTTGCTGCTGCTGCTGCTGCTGCTGCTGCTGCTGCTGCTGCTGCTGCTGCTGCTGCTGCTGCTGGCGCCGCTGCCGCAGCCGCTGCTGATCATGCTGCTGCTCACCATCCTGCCATGGCGGCACCCCGTCGCCCTGCTGCTGCTGGACCTGCTGCGGCTGCCACTGCTGTGGGCTTGCCTTGCTCCATGGCGGAGCGTCCAGTTGCAGTGCGGAGGGCGGCGTCTGCTGCTGCGCAGGCCGCAGCGACTGCTGGCGTGTTGGCAGCCAAGGGGCCTGCCCGTCGCAGCCGCCACCGCCACGACTGCCGCCGGCGCAACCATCACTCGCGCCAGCCGCAGGCGTGCTGCAAGGCACCCACAGCGATACCTCCGGCCGAGGCGAGCCTCCAGAAAGCAGGCTGCTGCCGTGCTGGCGTGCGCTGCCGACGCCACGCGGCTGCGCGCGCCGTCGGTGCCGCACTGTGAGTGGCGTGGTCGCCAGCGGTGACAGGGGCAAAAGCTCATCTTCTAGTCGCCGCGGCGGCCTACCACCCCCCGCACGCCCGCTGCCGCCCGCACCCCCGCCGCCGCCTCCGATGCCAAAGGTGTGGCCGCGTGGCGACGCCAGCATGACGTCGCGCAAAGGCGCAAGTACGCCGCCGCCGCTGCGCGGCGACGCCAGCGGCTGGCGGGGCGACGCCAATGCGTGAGAGGGCGATGCCATGGCGCGGCCAGGAGAGGCGAGCAGGCCGCAGCAAATCTCGGGGCCCATTCCCACGAGGCCAAGCTCAGCCGCTAGGTCCACGCTACGCAGAAGGCCGTCCCCCAGGTCGACGGGGCTGCCCAGCAGGAAGCGGCCCGGCGTGAGACCGTCCCCGAGCCGTCCCGGTGTCATCCCGACGCCGCTACCGCCGCCGCCAAAAGCTTGGAGGTCGAGGTCGATTGCCAGTGCCCCAAGCCCCAGACCCCTGCCTCGCGTGCCAAGGAAGCCAGCCTGCCCTGGCGGCTGCGCTGGGGCCACCTCTTGCTCCACCCGCAGTGACGGGACCTCTTCCTGCTGGCCCTCCTCGTCCTGCTGCTGCTGTTGCTGCTGTTGCTGCTGTTGTTCCTGGTGCTGCTGCTGCTCGCTGTGCCGCTGCATCGCCCGCTGGTCGCTGCCGCCCAGGTCCAGCGGGCTGATGGGCGGCAGGAAAGGGGCCATGGTGGTGGATGACATGACGGACGACCGTCGCCACCGTGCCGCAAACGGGGACGCTGGATCCAGTGGGGAGATATCGCCGACATCGGATCCACAGGACCATGGCGGCAAGGTGGCTAAAGGAGCCGCTGCCGCCGCCGCTGCCTGGCCTGTCGGCAGCTGCTTGTCGACATGGGGCCGCTCTTCTGCCACCTGCTGCTGCGCTCCGGGCAGCAGCAAAAGCGGGGGTTCTCTGCGCATGCGTGTTCGCTTTCGTGGCGGCGCATGCACCGACGAAGGCGATGGTGCGCCAGCCAAGAACTGGTCTGGCCGCTGCTGTTTGTCCAGGCCGAGCTCAGCTGCGTCGCCGCCGGCAGCCCCGCGCCGTGAGGGCGGCGGCTGCATGGTGTAAGCGCGGCTGGCTGGAGTGCAGGCGCTACTCACAAGCAATTCATCCTGCTCGACGCACGTGCCCGCCGCCAACACATCTCGCTCCATGCAGGAGAGCAGCAGCAGTGGCAAGCCTGGCTCTGCGGCGGAGCCCTGCACGAAGTGAGGCATTGCAGCGGTGAGGTGAGCTGCGCGGGCAAGCAACAATGATAATGATGCAAGATCTTCAACATGACGCCCTCTCACCGCGGCAGAAGAGCCTGGCAGTGCTGCAGGGCTCAGATCAACAATTCTCAGCTCCGTCCGGGAGCACTTTGGAAGGTGTGTGCCAGCCACCAGCTAGTTGACGCTCTAATCGCTACATATGAGCACGCGTGGTCCTGACCATCGGCTCATGGGGCGAGGAACGCTGCTTTTGGCGCGAAGTGCTGGTGATGAAGCAACAAGCGCTTGGCACACACGACAATCTGGATCGGGTGATGATGTAATCAGCAAACGCAATCGACGATCTCTCAGTGCGTGATAAATACACGGTGCCTGGAGAAGTCGCTCGGATCATCGGAGGTGGCACCAAGCCGTCCGCGAGTTAGCGGACATGTTCCGCAAGCTTCCTTGAAAATATAATCCACGTGGCCCTGCAATTGATACGGAGCTATGCGTCACACCTCGACGAGTAACCCGCCGCAGGTGCCGTCATGAACCAGTACCGTCAGCAGGCTGCCAGCCCACCTCAAGAGCGCCAACGTGTAACAAGCGGATTTTGGTTACTCAGGTTACCTGTGATGCTTTAGCCAACAGAGGCACCACGACGTCTTACAATCCGCATGACAGCAAGTGTTCTACGCCCCTTGCGCCCCTCTCAGTACCATGGTAGATGCCATGCTGGTCACGCGCAGGCAGTTTCGGTTCAAGAAGCCACGAGATGATTCTGCAACAACGCCGTCATGAGCTCAACCTGCAATCATACCCTGCAACATCACACACACCCGCTGCGATGCGCTGCGAAATGTGGGCGCGTGGAGCGCCCACAGGACACCAGGCTAGCACCACCTCAATGAGTTGCCTCGCCAATCACCACTTGCCCCAGTCGTCGTCAGCCGCAGCCTTGCGCGCAATCTCGGGGTTGCTGAGCGACTTCTGGGGCGCCACGCCAGCCCGCGGCGCAGCGGCGGGCGCTGCCCCCCGGCCGCCGGCTCCGCTGCCAGCACCACTGCCATTGCCCCAGTCATCCCAACCGCCGCCGGCACCACCGCCGCCGCCGCGACCATTCGCCGCACTGTCGTCAAAGCCCGAAAACCCACCGCCGCCGCCGCCACCGCGCTGCTGCTGCTGTTGCTGCTGCTGCTGCTGCTGCTGATATCCGCCCTGTTGCGGTAGCCGACCATCACTGACGCTGTGGTGCAGGTTGTGGCCGCCAGCTCCCCCGTTGCCGCCGTAGCCCGCGCCGCCTCCCCCATACCCGCCATACCCGCCCTGCATCAATGCCTGCCGCTGCTGCTCCTGCTGCAAGCTGGCTGCCACCGTGCGCGCTCCAAGGTCGATCTTGTACCCACTCTCCTTTGCAGCAGACTCGACCGTGGACGCAACATTCGCGTACAGGCTGCGGAGGCCGTTCCAGCCAGCAGATGCCAGCGCGGCGCCCTTGTCCTTGAGCTCCTTGGCCGTCTCCGCCACCTGCTTCTCTGCCAGCAGAGTGCTCACCTGCGCCGTGCCGTGGCGCAGCGCCTCCCCGGCGGTCGCGCCAACCACGGTCAGCGACTGCAGGCCCTTGGAGAGCAGCTGAGACACGTCGTCCGCGCCGCCGCCGGCCCCGCCGGCCCCGCGGCCGCGGGGCGGGGGCGCTGGGGAGCTGCCAAAGCCCACGTACTTGCCGCCCTGGTTCGGCGGCAGGCCCTCGGGCTTGGCTGCGTTCTCCAGCTTGCGGCGCTCGAAGAACGCATCCTTGTTGGCTGCGCTGGCTTGCAGCTGAGACATCGTGTACTCGCTGTTGCCCGCGCTGCCATTGCCAAAGCTGCCGTTGCGTGCGCCTGTAGCCGCACCGCCGTTGCCGCCGCTGTTGCCCCAGTCGCCCCAGTCGTCGCCGCCCCCGCCGCCACCGCCGGGAGCGGGGCGGCCGGCCGACGCGGGGCGGCTGCCGCCCGTGGGCGCGGGGCCGAGGTCCACCCTGATGCTGCCGGGCGCTGGAGCGGTCCAGGGCCGGCCCTCTACCTCCGCACGGATCTTGTCTCGGTAGACCTGCGTGGGGTTGCCAGTCAACGGAGGCGCCGTGGGGGCGATAAGACGGTGTCGACCAGGCAATCTGCCCTCAGGGCCGCCGCACCTTACCTTTGCATGACGCACCATCACAAAATCACACACGGCTCAAGCTGCCTGTCGCGCCGCATGCCGCCCCAAAACCCTGAGGCTGGGTGCCCTTTTGTGGCGTCCCACCTCTGCAACCTTGTTGTTGTATTTGACCTTGATATCAGTGGCCTTGTCGACACCGTGCTGTTGGAAGAACGCGTCCAGCTTGCCGTTGCCGCCCGCCTGCATCTTGCGCAGCTGGTCGGGGTTCCACGCGTCCATCGTCACGGACCTGGGGCCGGTGCAGGCGTGAGCGGAGTGCAGGGCGCGTGTTGGCCTGGCTGAAAGAGCGTGAGCAGATCAACCGACATATGGCGATGACTCTCTGTAGCAAATCAGCGCCGCCAGCACCCCTCGCGTCGAGCCTCGCGAGAGCCGCGCTGCAAGGCCTATCGCAAGCACAGTAGCAGGCAATCTACCGCCGGCTTGCACCTCACCTGACAAATGAGATGTGCACGCCCAGGCCCCTGTGCTTGCCGCTGCACTCGAGGCACATGAACGTGCCGTACGAGACGGTCGCCCACTGCGGGTTCTTTGTCTCACAGTCCACGCAGACCTGACGAGAAAGGGCACCAAACAGTGCAGCGATTGTAAGTGCTGGCGTTTGGTGCCCGGCAGCATTAGGGCATTCGCACCAGCTGCTGCGGCGCGGCGCTGCTCATGCCGGTGTATGGGAGGCCAGTCGAGAGCCGGTCCGATGTGCGGTGTGGCGCCTGCTGCCCGCCATGATTGTCACAGGCACGCTACTCCATGCGCCCAGCATCCAAGACATTCACGAACGAGCACCGCAGAGACCATAGTGGCGACCACGCGGCGAGCAACTGCCCCTGAAACTAAACCGCATGCACTCAGATGGCCAGGCTTGTGCACGAATCGACTCACCTTATTTTCAGGCTTTGCCTGCAGCTCCCTGAGGATGCGAAGGGCCTCTGGGCTCGCCATGCTGCTCCCCGCTCGCCGGTCCTTGCTGTACTGCAGTCGTAAACACAAACAGGGTCCTGAATTCAATTACTTCGTGCAGGCGCAAAGCAAGGGCCTGACTGTCTGGCGAAGGCCCGTGCCTGAAAACGACTCGAAGAGCTGGATTACAGCTCTTGGCCCTCAAGGCTGCTCGAGGCCCGGCCGTACCAACCAGCAAAGCGACAACGGCCCGCAGCAGGGCAGGGCATCCGGTGAGGGGCCATGTGCTCGCCCGCCTTCACTTCCAGTTGCCGACTTCTGTGCAAGCCGCCCGATTGGTCACCGGCGCAAACGCTTCTCGGACACCTTGGACAGGCCCAAAACAGAGCGAACTTGCATTGAGTCATCAGTGGGGATATCTTGCTACCGGTGTCCAGGCTCGTGGAAGCCGACCGCCACGACGGCCCCCAATCACCCCCGCCTGCTTCACATGGTCAGCATGGCGGCAAGCACACACGCATCACCGCACTCATGCTGCACGTTAAGTGCCGCCACTCCAACATCCGCTTCTTCCACCTCCTTGCCCAACCTCCAGGGGTGCAGCACTGCACAACGCGCGCAGGGCATGGCTCCACAGCGGACCCAGTTGAGTGATGTGTGACAGATGGACGTGTAGGTCAGCTCCCGTCCTGCCAGGTATGTCTACCACCCGTGCGCCCAGAATGTCAGGTTGAGGTTGTTACCTCTCCCTGCCTGGGCGACCCATCAGGGATGTTGAAAAGCTCCTATGTCAGACCAAGCGCAAGATAACCTTGTCGGGCGCCAGCTCATGAAGCTGGCATCTAACCGACGATGATTGCCCTTTGAGATCCTTCCTGCACAGCTTCCGTTATCACAACTATCCTTCCTATGAAGCTCAATAGCGTCTGTCACACAGGTTCATTGTGCAGAGCCCGCCACCGCCCCCGCAGGTTGTTTGCCAAGGGTTGTGCAATGGGCGGATGGTTGTGGTGGGATGTTTTCTGCCAGGCGTGCTGAGCTGATAAAAAGGAAAGCCCTTAGCAAGAGTCTTTGCTTCCAGATTATGCCAATTGACTAAGCCATAAACGGGCTAGCACCAGAGGCATCTTCCGCACACCCTACCTCACCTTTGCTGGGCTGCATGAAGTCTGCAAGGTTAGGTGTCAGCACGCAGGTAGCGCCTGCCGTCTGAGATCAGGTGATTCGCTGGCAACATTGTTGTAATCTGCTGAGGTCCCACTTGCAGCTTTGATGCTGTGCACATTGGCGTTGTGAAAATCACAGTGACTGCAGCCCTTGGAACAAAGTCAGCAGTGACTTGGCACAGGCAACAGTGAACAGCACAACTGCCAGCGCAGCCTGTCACCCCTGCGTCTCCATCGCCGCCAGCGCCGCCTCGACCTGCCTCTCGTCAAAAAAGCGATTGAGCGCCGCCGCCAGCTGCGACCCACTGCAACTCCCCAGCCCCAGCTGCGCGCACAGCCGCCGCCGCCGCTCCTTGGGCTGCTCGCCGCCCCAGCGGCCGCCACCACCGCCGCCGCCGCCGCCACCCCCGTCGCCACCGCCATCGCCGCCGCCGTCCTCCTCGAGGCCGTCCCCCCCGCCAGCGAGGACGCCGCCGTTGTCAAACGGCCGCGCCAGCCCCATCTCCTGCAGCCGCCGCAGGTCCCACACCGCCCGCCCGGCCTGGTAGCTGGGCGCCGCGGCCTTTAGGGCGGCCCTCAGCACGCCAGGCACGGCGTGCTCGATCCCCCTGTTGCCCGCCGCGTGCACGGCGCCGTCGGTGCCCGCCATGGCCGACGCCTCGGGCACAAAGGAGTGCAGCGGGCGCGCCGCCGGGGCGCGGGCGGCGAGCAGCGGGGCCAGCACTGAGTCCAGGTGGCCCCTGAGCTCCCGCCCGCGCTCGTCCGGGTCCGTCAGGACGATGAGCGGGCGCCCCAGCGCCGCGAGCGCCTCCAGCTCCTGCTGCGCGTGGCTGCGCAGCACGCGGGTGCCGCCGCAGATGTACACCTGCCCGGCGCGCGCACAGGGGGGGCGGCGGCAGGCGGCGGGGGAGGGCCCGGGTGGCATACTGGCGGTTGGGCTGGGGTTGAGGAGGCCAAAACGGGGGGGTCCTGAACGCCTGGAAACAGGTGCAGTCCTGCGGGGTGCTTGCCAACAACTGGAACCGTTTCCGTGCTGCACGGCAAGCATCCCTTGTCAGTGTTGCGGGACACTACGCCTGCGCCGCGGCAGCTGCGCCCGCATTTGCTGCGATGTTTCAACCAAACCCGCCTCACCGGCGCATTGACGGCCTTCGAGACCGCTCGCTGGTCCTCGGCCCCCTCCACGAGCACAATAGCCTTGATGGTTGGCAGCCGGGGGTTGGACCCCGCCCCAAACATGTGACGCCGCAGCGCAGACCACTGGGGGCCGCCGGGGAGGGCGAGGTCGCCTTTCAGCACTGGCGCCTGCCGCTTGCTGCGCTGCCGCGGCGCGAGGAGCGCGTCGGGGGCAAGCGGGCCCCCATGCTGCTGCTGCTGCTGCTGCTGCTGCTGCTGCTGCTGCTGCTGCTGCTGCTGCTGCTGCTGCTGCTGCTGCTGCTGCTGCTGCTGCTGCTGCTGCTGCTGCTGCTGCTGCTGCTGCTGCTGCTGCTCATGCCGCCACTGAGGGCCCCCGCGCGGCTGTCCGTGCAGAGCGCTGCTTTGATTGTCCTGATAACTCGCGTCGCTTGACTGCTGCTGTCGCTCCAATCTTTGTTGCTGTTGCTGTACGTGGGGGGTGTCCTGGCGTCTGCCGCCGCCACGGGGGCGCGGGTCGCCGTGCTCGGCAGGGGCCGGTTGTTTTTTGCGACCGAGCAGCCTCGCCAAACCTGGGCCGTTCACGGCGGCCGCATCGTCGCCCGCCGCAGCCGCCTCCGCTTGCTGCCGCTGACCTGAAGCATCGACTGCAGCAGCGCTGACTGATGACCGCCGATGTGGGGCACTGTCTGCAGCCCAACAAGGTGCGGCGAAAGTTGAGGCAACATTGCAGCGGGTCCGGCGGGCAGGTTTGGCGGCGGCAACAGCTGCTGGGCCGACGACGGCCGTGCCCTTCAAGCTGGCCGCATCATACTTTGACTGCATTTATACGGGCGTGCAATCGAGGGTGTGTGTTTTGTGTGCACTGGAACAGCAAAAGCCCGGCTGCTACCGTGTGGTGCTGTATGACATCCCTACCGTATCTCAGCGGCATGACACGTAGGTATTTGTACCACAGCAAAACCAGTCACTCTGCTAAATGACTGAATATCGAAACGACTCAAAGCTGACGATCGTATCAAGTGAAGTGATCTCGTAATTTGTCTGCTTCGGCTGCCTTGTTACAACGTGAACACGCAAGCAAAGCCACAATCAATCAGTTGGTTCCTGTTCCCCTAGCCTTGCTGCTGGTAGAAACGTAGTGGCGGCCGGTCGGCACAGCCGTGCAGCAGTGCTGCGCGAGCGCCGGGCGCGGCGGGCGCGATGGCCAATCGCACGGACAAGTTCGCAAAGTCCATCCATGGGACCAACCCACAGGTTCGTCTTGTTCCTGTACAACGCGCCCAGGCGCCGCGGCTAAACGTCATCACACCCGCAACGACAGCAGCAGCCGAGGCATGCCAAATCAGAGGCGCGAGCACGACGATACGTCACCGCGGGAGGGCTGAGCCGGTTTTCCACGCATTCTTTCATTCAGCCCTTAAACCCCATAGCCTCAGCAACAGCGCCTGCAGCGGCACTCCCGGCGGCAGCACAACGCGCAGCACCGCAGCGCCACCCCTCGCCCGGTGGTCCCCACCCTCGATCCACACCACTTCACCGCCCCCAACCCAACCCCAGAACCTGGTCGAGAAGATCACCCGCAACAAGATTCAGGCCTCGGTCTACTGGAAAGAGAAATGCTTCGGCCTGTCCGCGGAGACGCTGATCGACAGGGCGGTGGAGCTGCGGTCGGTGGGCGGCATGTATGGCGAGCCCAACAAGCCGACAGAGTTTGTGTGCCTCATCCTCAAGATGCTCCAGATCCAGCCCGACTTTGACATCGTGGTGGAGCTGATCAGGAACGAGGACTACAAATATGTGCGGCTGCTGGGTGAGCGGCCCGTCATTCCGATCTTGATCTGTGATCTGCACACAGCCCGCAATCGGCGAGCTCCAGTGCAGGCGTATCCATATCGGGCCCACCGTATCCAGAGGCCACAACTTGTGCCTGTCTTGTGTGTTGTATTTTCTCAACCCGCAACGCCTTTTCTCGATTCTCTTTAACTCGCTGTGCGCTGCCCGTGCCCGACCCGGGCCACCCTTCCTTTCCACCCCACCGCCAACCCTCCCGCCCTCAGGCGCGTTCTACCTGCGCCTGGTGGGGCGGGCCCTAGACGTGTACACCTACATGGAGCCCCTCTACAACGATTTCAGAAAAGTGGGCCGGGTCGGGGGCGGGGGTGGGGAGTGGTGTTGGCGGGTAAGGGCGGAAACAGCAAGGATCTTGCAGGACTGTGGCTGCTTGTGCAGGGTGGCAGCAGCGCTCGACCTCCTGAGCCCCGCTTGGGGGGTCAAATCAGCCGGCTGGGGCGGGATTGGAACCGCCTTATCTGAACACCAACGGTTCCGCTCATGCGTGGTTTTGCGGCCTTGCCCCTGCACATTGCGGCCGCACTGCACTCTCGCCGGCCCGGCCCCTGCCCACCGTCGCCGGACGCCCCCCCCCTCCCCCGCCCCCGTGCCCCCGGCGGCCCCTCTTGCCCCCAGGTCCGCCTGCGCACGAGTGAGGGCGGGTTTGTTCTGAGCCACGTGGACGCCGTGGTGGATGACATGCTGCGCAAGGACTACCTCTTCGACATAGCACTGCCCCACATCCCTAACAGGTGCCCTTGGGGGGGAGTGAGGCGAGGGATGGAGGAGCGGACATGGCAGGGGCTTTCTGCAGCGCGAGTCATCGCCGCAAAAGGGAGCTGGGAGCAGGGGTTGTTTGGGGCGGGTGTGGGGGCTGCGCCCCAGATGTCGCCGTCCGGCGTCTGCCGGCCGCAGCCGTCTCTGTGTTGCCCCGTCGAGCAGTAACGCGCCGGTCCGCCAGGGGCAGTCACACCAGGCCGCCTCCCCCCCGCGTCACCCACGGGCACCCGCCGGCACCCGCGTGCGGCCCCTGATCGACCCCGCCCTTGTGACAACGCCCGCCCGCTGCCGTGTGACCCATACCGCCCCACCGCCGTGTGCCTTGTACATCCCCGCGCCCAGGCTGACTATGGAGAACACCGGGCAGCTGGAGCCGCGCGTCAGCGTGTTGGACGAGGAATTCAACGAGGCTGCCACCCTGGAGGTGCGCCGCAAGCCGCCGCTGTCGAAGCGGCGCGCTGCAGGACTGGGATGGGCAGGGTCAGGGACGGTGGGGCCTGGGGTGCAGGGTGTGTCTGCGACCGGGCCCCTGCAAGCTGGGGGCATGCCGCGGCTGCGTTTGTGAGGGTGCGAGGGTGCACGCTAATTTGGGTGGCTTCACCTTGGGCTGCGCCCCTGACGGCTGGCTTATGCTTATAATGCTGCACGCTGGTGTGATGTATGTGTGTGTGCACAGGCGCTGGAGGCAGAGGCGGGCGAGGCCGCGGAGAAGGCGGCGGCGCTGCGGGAGGAGATGGGGGCGGCGGGCGGCGACGAGCGCGAGAGAGAGCGCGAGCGCGAGCGGCGCGAGGAGCGCGCGCGGGAGAAGTGGCGGCTCGGGAAGGACGAGCGGCGCGACACGCGGGAGCGGCCGCGCGGCGGCAGCAGGAGCCGCAGCCGCAGCCGAGAGCGCGAGCGGCGGCGGCCCGACGAGCGGCGGCACGGAAGCCGCAGCCGCAGCCGCAGCCGGGAGCGCGAGCGTGAGCGGCGGCGGCCGGACGAGCGGCGACGCAGCCGGAGCCGCAGCCGGAGCCGCAGCCGGGACCGCTACCGGGAGCGGGAGCGGGGGCGCGACCGGGATTACGACCGGCGAGGCGGCGGCGGCAGTGGTGGCGGTGGTTATCGGGACAGGGAGCAGGACAGGCGCGGCGGCGGCGAGAGGGAACGGGAGAGGGACCGCGGGGGCGGCGGCGAGGGCGGCGGGAGGGGTGCAGCCGCTGCTGCTGGTGGTGGGGTCGGCAAGGGCCGCGCGGCCGACCCGAACGATCCCGAGGTGGCGGAGCAGAACGCGCTGCGCGCAAAGCTGGGGCTGCCGCCGCTCAAGTGAAGGGTGGAGGCAAGGGGCGGCCCGCCTGTGTGTGTGAGACGCTCGCCCATAGGGCAGCCTGCACCTGCACCTGCACAGGCGGGTGTAAGGCGAGTGTGTTGCAACATGTGATTATGGCAAGGTCTGGCCTTGAGGCCGGCATGGGTAATGGCTCAGCAGCCACATGCTGCGGCTGGCTCGCAAGCAGGCACAGAGACAGTAGGGCGGTGGGAAGCGAATTGGATGGATGAGGTGTAGGCATGGGAGGGAGAAATCTGAGCAGGCAGTAACTTAAGCAGGCAAACTGCACCGCAATGTGCGCAGCGCGTGAACACAGCCAGGGCAGTCCCGCAGCTGTGTGCACCACCACAAGGGCGGCCACAACCTGGACCAGCACAGGGAAATGTGCTGTCTGGAAAAAATTCTGCGCAACCGCCTCAACTGCCTTCAACATGATAGGGCGGCGCAGGTTGCCTGTCCAGGCTCGGATAACAGCCATCATTGATGCAGGAGAGGGAAGCATCAACCTAGAAGCATGCCAGCGCAGTGCCGCAGCTGCCAGCACGTCACCCAGTGCCGACAAGCATGCAGTCGCTCCTGGCATCTACTAAACCTGCAATTATGAACAACAAATACGTCATAAATCTTTCGTGGTGTCACATACGTGCAACTGCTGCGGTTGCAAGATCATCTGAGACAGGATCCAGCGAGCTGTAACACCGTACAGCATCCTTTCCGACTTCAAGGTGGCGTTGTGGATTGGATGGCAGTCACGCAATGTCTTTCATCGCGGCAGCATATGGCATCCGGCCGGAGCTGTGCTCACACACTTGCCGCACACGTCATTTGCAGCAGTGATGCGCTGCCACACCCATGCGGTAAACCATGCTGCATGTCTGCACCATACCGCACTGCCACACCCGTACAGACCCAAGACGGCTGTGTCTTTGCAATAACAGCGGAGCTGGATAATTGCCATCAGCAGCCCGCAACACCACCAAGCACAGCCTGCACCCCGTAGCCACAGCGGCAGCGCTCTGCCAGCCGCGCCACGACGACCGCGGCAGCGACGACTCGGCGGTGCGGGCCCCAGGCAGCATGGCGGACGCCATCCCGCAGCTGGTGCGCAGCTTCCTGCGAGAGGAATACGCACAGGTAGACCCTCAGCTGCCGGCCATCCTTGCAGAGCTGCGGCGCGTCGGCGCAACTGAATGCTGGTGAGCGCGCGACGGCCGGACGTGCGTTGTGCATCAATGTGCGAGCGCACAGCTTTGGGATGCGGTCGCTCTTAAGGAGGGAGGTCCAGCAAGGGCCATGTGCGGCATGCCAGCGGATGTTGTGCGTGGATGTGTCGTTGATCCCTGGTGGTGTATGGCCCTGACCTCTTGCACCCTGCCCACCGACCCCTCCAGGCACAAGAAGAGCACGTTTGCGCAGCACCTGTTTGAGGTGGGCATGACGCGATGACACCTGAGGTTGTTCGATGTTGAGCAGCTGCGATCACAGGGTCAGAATTTTACCAGCCTTGGTCCTGATGGCCCGCCTGTCCCTTCATACCTGGACAACATTGAATCCCATGAGCCTGGATGGTTCCAGAGGCGGGCGACGACAGGATGCTGTCACAACCCTATCCTATCCTATCCATCCCCAGGTGTACAAGATGCTGACGATCTGGGGCCAGGACATCACGCTGCGACACTGCGGCCTGCTGCACAGCGCGTACAGCAAGTAAGGGGCCGGCTGGCAGGATGACTCTTCCCCATTAAATCCTGCAGCCTGCATCTCCTTCATGCGGCAGCCCTGCAAGCGTGCATGCATCCCGTCCTCCGGCCCCCCACTTCGCCTACCTTGTGGCTCTGTGCACCCGTCACCCAACTCCCTTTGCAGCTGCTATGTCAACTTGGCGGTGTTCAAGGCTGACACAGACAGGTAGGTGCTTTGCCAGGATGACTCTCGTGCACAAACGATAGCCGTATATCTGCATCCTGAGGCCCAAGGTCGTCAACCTCCTCTCCGTCTGTGTCGAGACTCCCCTGCTAGGCACACAACAGCAGGGCGCCAGCTGCTGCACGACAAAGCGCCATAGGCACGCGCTCACGGCGATTGGTGTCACTGCCCCGCCTCGCCTTGTCGCTTTGCCCGCCCCAAAGGCCGCACGTGTCTGACCTGGTGGGGCCCGAGTGTGAGGCGCTGATCTACCGGTTCTGCACCATAGACCGCCACGACCTCATCTACACTCAGCTGCTCGACAAGGTCGGGGGGACGGGCTGCAATGCTGGGTGGGGGTGCCCTACACAGGCTGGGTGTGTAGGCTTTGCAACGCACGTGGCGCTGTGCCATGGTGGGTGTGGTGGAGTTTGCGCGTCAGGCATGCTATATGACGGCAACAACAGTCAGCAGGGTCAGCTGGGCTTGTGAGGGTTTGAGCAGGCGGCCTCAACCGCTGTGGTCACCCTCCTGTGTATCTTGGGCCAGATCCCGGACGAGGGCCCCTACGAGGTGCCGGCCGACGGTGTGATGGGGCGCAACATCAAGACGGGTGCGGGTCAGCTGGTTTACGGCAAGCGTCCCCGGTAGCACGGCGGCTGCTGTGGATTGTATTTGAATCAGGCCGCTGCCAGTATCTGCACATGTGTGCACCCGCCCTCCTTGGTTTTTGGCGCTGAGTGCGAGTTTGTCGACGCAGCCGGCTGACCCGCCGCACCACTCGGAACATCCTGCGGCAGGGGAGCGCGAGCCTGTGGGGGTGTACGAGCTGGGGCAGTTCCTGGTGTTCACCATCGCTGATTTTTGCGACCAGCTGATGAGCTGGCAGGTGCGCACTTGGCTGGGTTTGGGCTTCCTCGGGGTTGGACGACATCGGGGCGTGCGTGCAGACGAACGAGCTAGCGTGAAGCCTGGCGCTGCATGCGCGGCTGTCATATGTGTGCCGTGCCTCCATGCTGCTGCATTATGGTGAAGTGTCCAGCTTGCTCGGCAGTTGAAGAACAGTGCGCACCACCTCAAACCTCAGGATGACATGTTTGAAAACCAGGACGGCCTGCTGCGCTACGCCGGCCACCAGCCCCAGTTCCTCTGGCCCTGCGAGGTTTGAGGGGGTGGCTTGAGGACGGGAGGCGGGCGGAGCCTGCAGGGTCGGCTCTGCCTGGAGAAGCGCCCTGCCTTGGGCGCTTTTTAAAATGCCGCAGCACGAATTGCGCCATTTGCCCTGGAGGTTTGCGGTGGGTAGCAGCCCCGAGGCACATTGCTGAGCAGCGCCCGGACTGACAGCCCCCGCGGCCCCCCAGGTCAAACCCAGCCAGTGCGTCCCACCTCCTGCCGCTGGATGCAGGTCAAGCCCGGCCGCTGGGTGCACACCCTCAGCAAAATGGGCGCCCTGCTGGCCAGCTGCAACGCCCGCCTCGCCGCCTCCGGCGCCGGCCGCAGCTTCCCGCTGCCGCCCGTCTTCGACGGCTGCAGCCGGGTCCTGGGGGTGCGGGAGGAGCTGCGGGCGCGGGACGCGTACTGGCGGGCGGTGACGGAGCTCAGGGGCCCGGGCGCGCAGGCGGAGGCGATGGCGGCGCTGAGGTCGGCGGCAGAGGACAACCCCTTTGTCGCCGAGCCGCACGCGCTGATGGCGCAGCTGCACCTGCAGGCGGGCCGCGCGGGGGACGCGGAGGCGGCGGCGCTGCGCGCTCTGCGGCTGCTGTGCGACTGGGGGACGTGCTGGGACAAGAGGATGCCCTGGAGCGCGTGGGTCGCATGGGTGCGGGCGCTGCTGTACCGGGCGAAGAGCGGGGAGGGGTGGCCAGAGGCGCCGTTTGGGGTCCTCAACTTTGGGATCGTGGACATGTAAACGAGACGTCAAATGTAGCCGGTGTCAAGCTTACCCTGTGCGTGCGGTGCTTGGGAGCAGGCGTGGCGTCAGGCGGCTTGAATGATGTATGAACACCAGGCACCGGTCAACGCAATGTGGCGGCAGCATGACGCAAGAGAGGACGCCCACATGCCTGACGTCCACATGATGGCTTGAGCCAACATTTCAGGCACGCAATCCACTGTCGTCCATACGCTTTCACTCACCGGCTAGATCGCTGCACCGGCATTTGCAGCCTGTATGAGGCAGGATGCGAGCCCTTGATGGACGCATGTTGTCGCAACTTAGGCCAGTTGAATTATCTATCAGCTGCAATTGTTGCACGCATGTTTTTGCACGGCCCCGCCATGCAGTAGCACGACCAGCGCAATCGGCGGCCGCTCGCGCTGCTTTGCGGCGTGCCTGCCACCAGCAGCCGCTCGGCCGCCCATTGCCGTGTCGCAGCATTGCTCCACAGCAAGCGGCAGCAGCAGCGGGGCAAACAGAGCAAGCAGCGGGCTCAAGCGCCATAGCTGTGGGCGCGGTCACACCCGGCGACACCCCAGGGCTGCCCCTGCTCCTCAACGATGTGCGCGTAATCCTGGTCGCCCCAAAAACACCCTCCAACGGTGAGAGAATACGTGTGTGGGCCATTCAATCAGTTGGGCGCACAAAACCGACACGACTCACACAGCCAAGCGGCAGCCCTACCGCACAGCAACGCACCGCACACCCCACCCACCACATGCCCCCCACCTCCCCCGGGCTGCGTGACACCGCCTCTCAAACCCACCCACACTCGGCCTGCTATTCCAGTCGGCGCGGCAGCGCGCGCCTGCGCAAACTTCGAGGCCCTCGACCTGACGGTGGTGGCGCCGCGCTGCGACCCCCGCGCCGGCGAAGCCTATAAGGTGGCCTGCGGCGAGCGCGTGCTCGAGCGGCTGCGGGTGTTCGACACCCTGCAGGACGCGCTCGCAGACTGCACCAGCAGCGTCGGGTTCACGCGGCGCGCGGGGCGGACGCGGCTGACGCACGCGAGCATAGGGGCGATGCTGCGGGAGTTTCCGGACACGATCCCCGGCATGGTGCAGCGAAAGCAGCAGCAGCAGCAGCAGCAGCAGCAGCAGCAGCAGCAGCAGCAGCAACAGCAGCAGCAGGAGGAGGAGGAGGAGGAGGAGGAGGAGCAGCAGCAGCAGGCGCAGCGAGGTGGAGCAGAGGCCTGGCGGGAGGAGATCAAGCAGCAGCAGCATCATGACGTGTGGAGCGAAATCGCCAGCCAAGGTGAGTGTTGATCGTACATGCATGGGCTACACGTTCCGTACCGACAAACAGCGATACCAGTACATTGGTTCAAGGTTTAGCTCCAGACTATCAGCGCCAGGTGCTTTCAGCATGGCCCTTGTATTATACATCCCCGTTTCATAGGCAAAACGGCGCTGGTGTTTGGGCGTGAGGAGAGCGGCCTGACGGAGGACGAGCTGCGGCTGTGCACCCACGCCTGCGCGATACCAAGCGGCCGTGTGCAGCCCAGGTGGGGACCTATCGGTGCGCTGCACTTGTTCCTGCTGTGAGACACGCCATGCACTCCAGATAGTGCATGCCAGCATGACTCTTGCTGCAACCATACCCCAATTTCTCTCACAGGTGGTTCCCTGATGCGTCTCACCCTACACACTCACACACACACACTCACATGCACACACTGCAAAACCACACACCTCCTGCTCGCAGCTTGAACCTGAGCCACGCCGTGGGTGTGGTGCTGTCTGACCTGTTTGAGCGCCGCCTGGAGGCCCTGGGCCTGGAGGAGCTGCCGGTCGGCCAGGACGTGACAGGTCAGCACGAGCATGAGACAACCGGGACGGTTGATAATTGTGTTACTAGAAGTCACAGCAGTTGTTATGTAGGGTTTGGTTGAGCTGGGGACTGCTGCAAGGCTGCGCATATGCGGTCGAACTTAGCCATCGGGTCGGTCATGCGTGAGCAGCCGGCAGGCGGCTCATGTCAGGGTCAACTGCTGACCCCCGCTGCTTTACACCCGCCCCAGGCGACCCCTGGGTGGATGCGGGGCTGCAGCCCGCCACGGCGTCGGAGCTGGAGGCGCTGCTCCAGAAAGTGGCTGCCGTTGCGCGCGCGGTCGGCATGAGGTGGGCGCTGCGCTTCTCGTTCAGGCATCATGTAGCTTGAGGGCGTGCATGAGGCCCGACGGCGTCTGTGTCAATCAGCTCTGCTTGGGGGCCGCAGAATGTGATGGTGCTACTCCGACCGCCGGCAAACATTTCCCTGTTTGCGCAATCAGTGACCAGGAAAGCCACGGTGGTGGCAATCAAGGCAAGCACGGCCGTCGGCGCCAGCCCCTGGGGCATGTGCGCGCGCTTATGGCCCGTGCCAAGGCAAACACCTGGGTGAGACTCTTGAATATAACAGCGATGATTTGATGGGGTGGAGGCCTGCAGGGGCAAGCATCAATTTCCTGGGCGGTGAATGACGTCAGGCATTGGCTGTTATGATGCGTCAGGCACCTCATTCGCGCCTTTGCCCCCCCCCCCCTTACAGGAGGTGCGCTCACTGCATGGCCTTGCAACGGCAACCCTCAAGGCGCTCGCCGGCAATAGCAGTGGGGGCAGCGCTGATAGTGGCGACAGTGACAGCGCTGGTGGCGGCAATGGCAGAGAAGGCACCACATGATGCTGTAACTGCCAATGTGCTAGCAGACTTGAAAAAGGTTTTTGCACTGCTGGCGGCGGCGAGTTATCGCAGGCAGCAGGCGCACAGGGGCCGGCCGGGGCGCAAAAAGGGTGTGTAGGGCATCTAATTGTGCCAGGCAGGATTCAAACCGGCTCTGGCTGCCTGAACTGCTTGCGTGCGGCGTGCGTCTCACGGAGATGAGGGCGTCACTGCAATTTTCGCGCAGGTGACCAGGCACGCCGTTGGGGGGGGGGGGGGCGGAGGGGGGTCGCTGCAGGTGTACCGGAACCACCCTCAGGCTGTCATTTAATTTATCACACAGAATTTATTTCACCCAGAAGCCACTTGGCCCACCGTAGCCCACACAGTGCGCACATGCTCGTGCAAGTGCGGTCAACATGCCAGTCAACCCTGCAGCCAGCTCCGACTTGCAGGGATCTGCGTGTGGCCTGTTTCAAGATGATCGTGCAGATCATAATGTGAGTTTTTGGCAGCTCCATGCATCTGGACTGGAGTGCTTGAACAAAAACAGCGTGAAGGTCACTTGTTGGGTCGGTCCCCCGCATAAAGCACGCATCCAAGCAAACGTTTTGCAAACTAATAAATTTTTCGGCATACCAAGGCAAGTTTCAATCCACAAACATCCAACCCAACATTCCTTTTCGCCTACCGTATACTTGACTGCCCTCGCAGGCTCGCGTGCGGGGAGGCCGGGGCATGCGGTCTGCAGCGTCAGACCTGGACGGGCTTGTATAATGTCTCAGCTCGCGCTTTTCTGCCTGCTAGAGTGTTGCCTGGTGCCCCTGCGCCCGCGCCGTGCTGCCCCGCACCCACTTACTGCAGGCGCTGCATCTCCAGGTCGCGCGCCCCGCTGCTCGGGTTGGGGGTGCGCTCCCGGCCCCAGCGGTGCGCATGTTGCGGTGACCTGGCAGCCCTAAACCAGAGTCCCCATAAGGGGCCGTTCTCAAGCGGGCATGCCTCATCTGGAGCACTCCTTCGGGAGCACAATCCCGGAGCTTGCCAGTGGGACCAACCTTGGTCGGTTGCCACACGCTACCCTGGACTTGCCAGGGGGTTGGGCTGCGCCGCACGCAACGTTACCTATACCGTTGTGTGCGGGCCGTTCATGTTTTGGGGCCCGAGCAGCACACCTCCACGCGGTGGGCCCTGGCACTACTGGCTGCGGGCTGCCGTCCCAGCTACCAGGATGCTGCAACTAAGCAGAAGACCATGCGTATTTGGGCTTGTTGCATGCCTCGCACCTTGTGATGTAACATTTCAAATCATCAGGCTGCTGAAGGGTGCGTTTGATCCTTATGGGTGTTGACTTAAACTGCAGCCGAGTGGCTCCGCTAACTCTTACACACATTACATCTGGGCAGCTGTAATGCAGCAGCAAGGCTTGCGAGCTGCCGGCTCAATCGTAAGGCGGTGGTGCTCCACGGCTGCTGTGGCTGCGGGAGGGCAAGGTTGAGCTGCGTTCAGCGTCTGTGTGCCAAAGGAAAACCTGCAGTTTGTGTGTTGATGCCGGCAAGCAGTGGCAAACTCGGCAATTACTTGAGCAGCACCAATCAGAGGGTGCAGGCGACGTTCACACGGAGTATCATCAAAATATAGCCGCAAAGGGCCATGGTGCCTCCTTTCACAAGATAGCACGGCCAAGACTCATGCAGAGCTCAACGCGACACACCAATTGAGAACAAGACTGCACCAACCACTTCAACCAGTGGGATCTCCTAACGCAGGCTGCGCATCCCGTCATTGTGACCCCGAGCCGACTACTGTAGCTCAACACCAGTCGAGCTGCATTCATCTGCCGACATCCTCCAGCAGGCGGCTGGAATAGAACGAGGTGGCGGTCATCACCCCCTCGGTCACCTCGAAGCGCGCGGGATTGAGCGCTACCTCACCACCCTCCTCGGCATGTAGGTATGCGCACGTGGCGAAAAGGGGGAGACAGGGCCACCACGACTCGCATCAGGCTGCCTGATTGGCCAGCTGGCACCAGTGCATGCACGTATTTGTCGGACAGACCTATCACGCGCATGCCGCCCGGAGCAGTCTTTTTCCCCTTCTGCCGGCGAGGGGTGGCCAGTGTTAGCGTAGGCGGGGTGGTGGGGTGCTCAGGGGCTCGCAGGGGGCACAGAATGCGTCAGCAAGGCTTGTGTGCGGCCCGCTAAGCTGTGAGGTGGTGAAGCTCCATGGCTGCTGTGGCTGCGGCACGGAATTGTCGCAGTACTGTTTGGCGCTTGTTGCGAAAGGGGGAAGAACACTTGTGTGTAATGATGCTGCATGCGTTGTCAAATCCGACACATTGGCAGCGTCAACCAGAGGGTGCATGCACATGAGCATGGGAAACTATCAAAACGACCAAAAGGGGCCCTGGTGCCTCCCCTCAGGTCACGCGACAGTGCGGGCAAGCCATTTGCAGTACTCCCGCAACACATGACGGGAGGGGGGGGGGGAGTGCATCAGACACTTCCACCGTGGGCTCTCCTGTTGAAAGCTACGCATTCAGCTGTTGAGCACTGCATTTAGCTGCCAACGGCCCCCAGCAATAGCTGAAGTAGAACGAGGTGGCAGTCACATCCTTTTTGGTCACATGGAGGCCCCGCTCTGACGTCGAAGGCTACTGCAGGCTCCTGCTTTGACCAAGAAAAGCTTCAGTCAAACCATGCAATGCTGGTAGGAAGTCGCCAAGCATACACGCCAACTGCGCACAAGCAAACCGTCCTTCAGGAAACTCTGTTTTCCTCGCGTGCCCTGCAAAGCATGACTACAGGTGCCCACGGACTTGAGCAGCTGCAGAGCGGCAGCGCGGGCGCAGCGCCGTTTGCCTGTGCATGTGGTCAGCGCTGGTATACGTATTGCTAGGGCCAAGATCGAAGCCGAGGATACTTGATTGTTCCGATCGTGCCATGCCCTCAGTGGGCCCCCCTGACTCGTAAAGGCTTGAAGTGATCTGGTGTCGATCGCCAGGATGGCGGACGGCAAGTACTTCTCGACAACAAAGAGGGGTACGTGGCTGGAAAAAGCAAGGCGCCGGTGGGGCGAGCTTGTCAACCAACCAGGAGCTGCTCACCTTTTGTGCAGGCGAGATCCACGAGCTCAAGGAAGAGCTCGCCAGCCTCGATAAAGGAAAGAAGAAGGAGGCGGTCAAGAAGGTGATCGCCGCGATGACCGTGGGCAAGGACGTCTCGATGCTGTTCCCCGCAGTGGTGAACAACATGCAGACTGAGGACCTGGAGCTCAAGAAGCTGGTGTATCTGTATTTGATCAACTACGCCAAGACGCAGCCAGACCTGGCGATTATGGCCGTCAACACGTTTGTCAAGGCGCGCCGGGGCTCGCACGGGTCGTCAGCACAGTGCCGCGCCGGTGTCCAGCGTGCGCTTAGCCTGATAGGCGTCCAGCAGTGGTCAGTGACTCCGCGTGCGTGAATTTGCAGTCAAGTCCCCTGTCTATATGGCAAGCAGCAGGAGCGAGCGGATGGGCTTCTCAACAGCCTCAGCTGGTTGAAGCCACCATTGCTGGAGCTCTCTCTGCGCCCTGCTGCAGCGCACCGCCTGGACCCTGGGCACCTCTCACCACCTGCAGCTGCCACCCATATTTACCTCCCCTTCCGGTGGGCCATACTTCTCCCCAATCCTTCCTGTTACGTAATCTTACAGGACTCCCAGGACCCCAACCCCCTGATTCGGGCGCTGGCGGTGCGCACCATGGGCTGCATCCGCGTGGACAAGATCACAGAGTACCTCTGCGACCCCCTGCAGCGCTGCCTCAAGGTGCGTGGCACCACAATCCGCACTGTGGCCGTCCAGTTTTGTTTGGGAAGACACATGTAATAGGTCTGGCTACAGGAATGCATCCCCAAGCAGTGGGCGGTGCTGGGCAGCAGGCGCCTGCCCAGGATGTTGCAAACTGAATGGGCGCCAGGGCGGGCCGTTGCGTCCGGACTAGGCGTCGATGGAGCGCTTTCTTGGGCAGGCACCCACCAGCTCAGCGACTGCAATCCGCGGGCGGAGGTCAGGCAGCGGTTGCGGCAGTGATTGGCGGTTGACCTGGCGGAGCGCAGGTGTTGGTGGCAGCAGCGGATGCTGGCTGTGATGACTGCTGTCAGGGCAGACGGCAGCTGCCAAGCACAGCTACCCCTGGTTGCTCAGGAGCGGCGGCGGCAGCATGTTCACAGGTCTTTGCAGCAGTCCAGCCCCGTGGCAGCTGCGGCGCGGCTGGGCGCCCAGGCACCTCCGTCGCAGCGGTTTACAAGGAGTAAGCAGGGCCTCTGCGACGGGGCAGCTTGGTTCTTAGAAGCGCCTCACCCATCTGTGACACCCCCTCTGCTCCCTCCTCACCCTGTCATGCAGGACGACGACCCCTACGTGCGCAAGACGGCGGCTGTGTGCGTGGCGAAGCTGTACGACATCAGCGCAGAGCTGGTGGAGGATCGCGGCTTCCTGGACATGCTCAGGGTGCGTGCGCCGCTCGTGGCCAAGCGCACACGCAACAAGGGGTTGGCTAGGAGGAGATAAGATCTGTGCGGGTGTCTGGCTGGTGCCGCGTGGCAAGAAAGTGCGGCTGGGGCGGCGTATTGCTTGAGGGCTGAGAGCAGGTTGGTAGGTGCGTCGACGCCCTGCGGTGCATTGGAACGCTCGGGACACAACAATACGTGCTAGGGCGCTCGTTTCAAAAGTGCATTGCAACTACGGTACCTCGTCATTTTTTACAGTTGTTGTTCAACAGCCGCCTTCATACCCTCCTGGCGTAATCCCTCGCGCACCCCACCCCAGGAGATGCTGTCTGACGCCAACCCGATGGTGGTGGCCAACGCCATCGCGGCGCTGTCTGAGATCCAGGAGCAGGGCGGCCAGGAGGTGCTGCAGATCACGCCCCACACGCTGTTCAAGCTGCTGGCGGCGCTGAACGAGTGCACAGAGTGGGGGCAGGTGCGGGGGCAGCTGCCGGCTGACCAGCTGCTGCTGGTTCAGAAGGGAGGCACTCTGTGATTAGACGCGTGGTGAATCCAGCAGCTGCCCCCACTGGCGTCATGATGCACCCAGTGCCCAGTCGGTGCTGTCGCTGCGCATTCCTGGCTGCAGCAGACCTTCCTTGGCAGTAGACCTTCCCTCCCCCACCGGGCACTGCCCCTCCCCCACCCACCCCATCTCTTGCTGTGTTCTTCCATTGGTCACCCAACAAGCTCGCCCTCTCCCCAAACAACAACGGGAAGGTGTTTATCCTGGACTGCCTGGCGGGCTATGACATGTCAGACCCCAAGGACGCCGAGAAGATCGCGGAGAGGGTGCTGCCGCGCCTGCAGCACGCCAACAGCGCGGTGGTGCTGTCCGCAGTCAAGGTGCGTGCTGCGGCCAGGGCTCTTTATGAGAGGCGCCTGTTGAGGGGCCGGGGTAAGCGAGCGCGTCTGTTCTGCCGAATGCGTGCATGGGGGTTGAGGGCGACGGCAGGCTGCTAATAGCCAGAGCGGGGAGGCGCGGCGCAGGCAGGCCTTCTGGGCACTTACTGGATTTCTACTCCTGCTGCTTCTCGTTTTGCCGACTCCTTTCTGCTCCCCTGTTGGACACCTATGCAATCACACACGTACACACAACATTGCGCACACATCATTGCCGACATTGCACAAAGCACCGCACACACGACATTGCACACACTGCATCACACACCAACAACGTGCAACCCCCTCCAAAAGGTGATCATGCGCGCCATGGACGTCGTCCCCAGCGAGGACCTGGTCAAAGCGTGGTCGAAGAAGATGGCGCCCCCCCTGGTGACGCTGCTGTCCAGCGAGCCCGAGGTGCAGTACGTGGCCCTCAGGAACATCAACCTCATCGTACAAAAGAGGCCCTCCATCCTCGCGCACGAGGTCAAGGTGCGGGCGCTGCGGCGCGCGGCGAGCCGTTGATCGCTTGGAGAATGGCGCTCTGCTGAAGGGTGTTCAGGCACGAGCTTTTCGTGCTGCTGCTGCCTGGCGGTTTTGCGACGGCGGCGCTTCGGCCCTGCGACCGAATGGCTTGTTCCCACTGTCGCACATGTCTGCTCTCGCAGCTCCTTAGAAGGCACCCAAACACGAATTTGGCCCTTGCTGCCTTTCCCGTACCGCACTCCTGCTCATCCCATGCGCATGTCGCACGTTGGTTGCATACCATCCCCCCCCCACCCACACACACATAAACACACAATCCTACATTTGACATTGACCGCTCCCCCCCAGGTGTTTTTCTGCAAGTACAACGACCCCCTGTACGTCAAGATGGAGAAGCTGGAGGTCATGATACGCCTCGCCAACGACAAGAACATCGACCAGGTCGGCGGGGATCGTTGGGGTTGTGAGGCGGCGGTGTCTGCGCAGCACCTCCATGCACGTCCCCCTCGGCCCGCTGCAACCACCTGGGTCGCCGTTCCGCTCTGACATGATTTCTGGCCCCTCGCCTGCACCTACACACAACCAGCCGTGTCACAGCCAACTTCCTATCCATTCTTCTGAACCCCTCGGCCCCGCCTGCTTCTGACCCCTGGAAATAATCAAAGGTCCTTCTTGAGCTGAAGGAGTATGCCCAGGAGGTGGACGTGGACTTTGTGCGCAAGGTGGGGCGGGGTGTCTGCAGCATCAGCCCGGAAGGGGGGGGGGAAGGAGTTGTATGCTCTTGAGCAAGCCGCCCGTCAAATACTACGCAGACACGCGTGTGCGTTAATTAGGAGTTTGATCGGTCAACTCCTTGGGCATGCCTTCGCCGCAGGCCGTGCGCGCCATCGGGCGGTGCGCCGTGAGCCTGGAGGCCGCCGCGGAGCGCTGCATCAACGTGCTGCTGGAGCTGATCAAGTCAAAAGTCAACTACGTGGTGCAGGAGGCCGTCATCGTCATCAAGGTACGCGCCACGCCAGGGGTACAGACAGTGGTGCCCTGGTGCGCGGGCATGCAAAGCAGCAGGGCCGCTACGCTCATGCATATGCATGATGAGGGGCGGTGTTGATTCGCCCGTCATAAGAAGGTGGCCCGGTTAGCAGCTTGGTTGGGGGCCTCCACAATCGCGAAGCAGGGTGGCCGCTGCTCCCGTGTGCCACACACTGAAACCCCTCAGCCTGCCACTCATTGGTGCCGCACCCCCACCCTCTTGCAGGACATCTTCCGGCGCTACCCCAACCGCTACGAGTCCATCATCGCCACGCTGTGCGACAACCTCGAGAGCCTGGACGAGCCCGAGGCTAAGGCATCCATGATCTGGATCATCGGTGAGGAGAAGGCGACTGACGGGCAGCTCGGCGTGGAGGAGGGCGGGGACCGCCCGGCCAGCCTGACGCGACAAGCCGTGTTGAAGCCATTGCTGCGGTTGGGGCAAGGCGGTCCAGGGCCGACTCCAGCACGCCCGCCCCAGCACCTCAGCAGATTGCGTACGACCAGGTTACTGAATGTGGGTGCGCGCACACGCTTGTGTTCTCTCCTTCTCACACACACGCAAACCCACACACACGTCACATGCACACGCAAACAAACACTACACGCGCACATCCAACCCCCAGGTGAGTATGCGGAGCGCATTGACAACGCTGACGAGCTGCTGGAGACCTTCCTCGAGACCTTCCCCGAGGAGACGGCCCCGGTGCAGCTGCAGCTGCTCACGGCCACAGTCAAGCTCTTCCTCAAGAAGCCGACAGAGGTGCGGGGAGTGCCGGGGTGCGGGGCCGCGGGGCTGCAGTCTTCCCTGGGTTTGGGGGGGGGCGTGTTTGGCAGGTGGCTGTGGGCGGCACGCAAAGTGGGAGATATGTGGGGGTAGTGTGAAGGCAGGCAAGCCGCCCTCCTCCTGTGCAGTAATGGGGGATTGCGTTTGACGAGGCCGGACGGCTGGGCGGATGGCTGCGTGGCCTGCCACCTGGGACTGTGGAGCCTGGCTTCTCGGCAGGAGTCAGGGCCCGCTTGGCTGCGCCACCAAATAGCAAGCAGTCCCCTTGCACGGCCCCTCCCCGCACTCTAACTGCATCATTCACCCCTGCATCTCAACCACACTCCCCTCCCTCTCCTGCCCCCCCCCCCATTGTACCACCCCCAGTCTGCGCAGCGCATGATCCAGCTGGTGCTGAGCGCAGCCACCACGGAGACAGACAACCCCGACCTCAGGGACAGGGCCTACGTCTACTGGAGGCTGCTCAGCACAGACCCAGAGGTGGGGGGCCCGCAGGAACGGACGATTTTGGCCCGCGGCAGGTGGGGGGGTGAGGGAGGCAGCAGCTGCCTCTCGCGGCTGGGTCCTCTTGCGGGTCGGGCTTGTCAGGATTTGCACTGAGGACGCACGGCGCGCAGCGGCCAGCCGGGCGTGCGGCAGCCCTGAGGTGCTGTCTGGGAGCGCGGCCTTGACCTCACTCCCTCCCGCCCTCCTGCCTCTCCGCCTCGAGACCCCTCTATATCCCCCCCCCCCCACACACACAC